ATGTGTAGGCATCACTGGGATATACTTCTTCCCCCACCACCACCCCAAGGTGCCTCTCTAATCCAGGGAGCACCCCAGGATCAAGTATGAGACTGCCTCACCCCTACAAAATTTCACAATCCTTCTCACTCCAAGGCCTAAGAAAACCATCTCTTCAGCTAGCATTTCCTCCCCACTATCTCCATTCTCCTCCAAACCACCCAGTGTCCCTAGGCTCATCCCAAGAACATCACTCAGTGACAGTAGCATCCAGACCCTGCTGAGCTAGGTGTGACTGCTACTGAAACTCACTGTGCTGGCCCTATATCCCTAAATGCTATGGACTTGGTAAAAATGTTGGCTAAAATCTGACCCAGGGCTGGTGAGATGGCTCATTGGGTAAAAGTGTTTGTTGCCAAGCCTGACAACTGAGTTGGATCCCCAGGACCCACTAGGGTGGAAGGAATCAGCCATCTCCCACAAGTTGTCATGTAATCTCCACACATGTGATACTCAAGTTCACATGTATATACACATATGAATGAATGATGATAGACTTCTAGCCATCTTTAAAACCCCATGTGGGTACCCCCTCTTCCAAGACTTCTAGTCAACAGGGGGCTCCTAATTGCCTCCTGCCACAGCACTTGCTATGGGCACCTGAAGGGAAGAATTGATGCAGGTCTCATCTCTGGGCCAGGTACCCCTTAACAGCCACACCCTGGCACAGGACTACACCTTGCTGACCAGAGGCTCAGTTACCTTGTTTAAAGGGCATGTTATTATTATCCCCATTCCACAAGTGGGAAAACTGGGGGCAGGGTGGCTAAGTAGCCACCCCATCTCAACTAATTAGGACCCAGAGCAGAGACTTGAACCCAGAGCAGTTATGAAGCCCCTGCCTGCAAGGCTGGACATGTCCTGGCTGAAGCTGAAGGAGCCCTTAGGGACACAGAGCCTATGCTATAGACAAGACCTGTGTGATCTCAACAATCAAGGAGAGACAGTGACATTGTCTCATCTGTGCCTGAAGATGTGAGCAAACAGCGCTCCGCCGAGAGGCAAGGGCCATAGGACAGGTACCAATCCCACCAGCTGGCAGGTGAACAAACAACACAGGTCCACCTACTTTTTGACTTAGCTACCGTTACCAATGCTTGCTATGTGGTTCATAGTGTCTTAATCTCTCTTGAGCCTGTCTCCAAACTTGGAGAATGTAGAGCATGGATAGAAGGGCTTGAGGATCTTCTCATTAAGTAGACACCAGATCCAGCTGGGCCCCAACCCCTGCAGCAGTACTGCCTTCTCCTACGGAGGGGTTTGCTCTCACTGATAGCTCAGATTGAGAAGCCAGCACACACAGTCAAGGCCAACAAAAAGAACAGCCTAGTCCTCAATACAGGCAGCTTATATGGCAGAAAGACGGTGCTGGACTAAAAAAACACCTGGCCAATTATCTGATAGGCTCTTGGTTATTCACCAAAGGGTGATGGTGGGGTGTAAAGACACCAGCCAAGAGCCCCGGCATGTGATTGGGCAGACCTAAGTACTCAGACAACCACAGCCTGGACTGGCAGAGACTCCTTCCTTCTTTCACCCAGCCAGGGCCCAATGTTCCTGTCTCAGGAGCACTCTCTTCTAGGCTGGAGTAGAGGATGCTGGGAGCATCTCACCAGTTCCCTCGGCCTTCTCATTCTGCAGTCCCTTGAATGACAGCATATTCTACCTTCCAGAGGAGGGTAACCTACAGCCACTCCCACCTTAGCTCCTCATACTTCATCCTTTAATTAACTGAAGGGAACAGGAGAGGAATGTTAGTGCTGTAAGGAAGATGTAAAAGGGGACTCTGGATAGATAGCCAGGGGACAGTACCCAAGTGAAGCATGGAAATCACAGCACCAAAGTTCCAAGTGCATCCCCCAAAAAAAGACCTCATTCTGTCAAATGAGAGTTATAGGAGCACCCCTTTCCTGCAGTTCCTCATGCATCCTTGACCATCAGGGCCTATGACTAACCCCTAAATCCGGCCATCCCCCTATGTGGCCTCAGTCACAGGACAGGAAAGATAAACAGAGAGACTCTGAACAGGAGTTGCAGAGAAACAGGAAGTTCTGCCAGGCTGTGACTGTCATTGTGTGCAAGATGTCTGTGCTTCGACATTAGAGGAATCAGGCCTCAGGGGCACTGGGCCCTCAGGACACAGAACAGAAGGATGGCACAGTCAGTTGGTGAGCTTGCTCAGTAGCTTCCCAGAAGCATGAAGTCCTGTGTCAGTGAGCCCTCACCCAAGCCCTGGCACTGAAGCTGGCCAAGCCTCTGCCAAGTTACATTGCCCAAGCCTCCCCATGTACAATCTGGGAACTGGGGACCACTCAGCAGTGGGAGGAAGTAGTGTAGAGAAGACAGTCTGATGGGGCTTTAGGGGTACTGTTCCAGAAGGATCCTGTGGGTACACTTGCAAGGATCCCAGCTGTCTCACTGGATGGTAGAACAGAGCCAAGGAGATAAAGAACAGCCAGTACTGATCTAAGTGTGAGGGTACCAACATCACCACCAGCACTGTATCCACCCCAGTGGTCCCTGACCATCAAATGTCCAGGCTTGACGCACACCCTGTGCCCACTCTGCCCCCAGCCTTCGAATCCCTTGATTCCCTTCTGTGTGACATCAATCTATGCTCACAGGATGAAGCAGTTGTGACTCTACTATCCACCAAGGCATGTTACCTCCCGGGGCCCTTCCCCACCTGCAAAGGACCCCTGAGTCTTTCCTCTAGTGTGACAGCCAACACCAACATAACCCAAAGCCCAGGACACAAAAAATGTTCCACTTGCTTACTCAGGCCATGAGGAACCCAGCCCAAAGCCCATTACCACCTCATTCCATCCTCCCACATGGGAAACCCCAAACTTTCTTCCCCACATCTCTCAGCCTCTCAGAATGCCAACCATAGACAGGTTTGTTGTTGTTGTTTTTCATGACAGTCAAGACCAGCAGTGGCCTCTTCACTGCCCAGTACTAGACACTCAGCTCTGAGACATCTGGGTAGAAATCCCCAGCAGAGGCCACAGTCCAGCCTACAGTCCCCATGTGTTGCAGGGGGAGAGGGGGCATGCTCTGTGCAGGGGCTAGGTTGAGGGGAAGCCTATGGAGGTGTGCTGAGGTCCACTCCTTCAAGCAGGAACCACGCACCAGGCCCCCTCTGAAATCAAGGAAGCTCATAAATGCAAACACACTGTGAAAGACACACACAAGTTTCCACTATTAACAAGGAAAGAGGATGTCAAAGTGCCCATCTGTCCTGCAATCCACACCAAGGCAATCCAGCTAAGAACAGCCATGAGAGTGCACAGGAACCCAGAATTATAAGTGAAAAACAAAACAAAACAAAACAAAACAAAACAAGAGCCCCTTGCTTCAGAGTCACATGTGGCTTCTGCCTGCATTGACAGATTAGAAAGAATGGTCTGTGGTCTAACTTCATGTCACCTGGCTTTAACATGCTTTTTGTTGTTGTTGTTGTTGTAGTTGTTGTTATGCTTTGTGATATAGGTCTCATTATGTATCCCTAGCTGGCAGGAACTATATAGACAAGGCTGCTCTCTATCACAGACATTCGCCTGCCCCTGCCTCTTGAGTGCTGGGATTAGAGACATGCTCCACCACACCCAGCTACCTGGGCTGAATCTTTGAGGGAGGGAGAGCACACTGGACAAGAAGAGTATAGAGTAAAGTGGCCTAATTAGGGGCCCAGGGCCCATAGAGTAGACAAGACCTGGGGACAGGAGACCTCAGCCATGAGCTCACTGTAGTAGGGTCTCCCTTTCTGTTTCCATCTCTTAAACAGCCATGCTCCAGAGGTTCTCTCCCAGGACTATGGGGAGACCAGGGAATGGACAGGGAAGGGCTCAAGGCTAGGGGAATGGATAGGGGTCTGGGAGCAGCCAGAACTGGGGCACAACAGAATGAGAAGTTAGAGAGGGAACTCTGGGAATATATTCATCAGGCCACACTAAACTGTTTCAGACAGACAGACAGACAGACAGACAGACACACACACACACACACACACACACACACACACACACTAGTAGCAAGAAGCTCAGGCTTGAGTAGCAAGGCTCCTCTGGCCCACAAAGGCTTCTGTGTGTCCCCAAGGAACACAAGGAAAATCACTATCCCTATAGATTTTGACAGCCCAGCTGTCCTGAAGCAATGTAAGGTGTTGGGGTGGGCCTGGCTCAGGGTGACCACTCACCCCACCACCTTGTTTTTATAGCTTGGGTGTGGAGTCAGGAAAAGATGCAGAGGCCCAGCTAGCCACCCCTGCCCCCAAGGCCACAAGCCCAGCTGCCACACAACACACCCTACCCACCATGCTCCCAGAAGACCACAGATCTCACCACCCAAATCCCTGGCCCTCCTGCCCTTGCTCCCCCTACCTACATTCTCACAAGAACTCCCTTGAATGTGAGGGGCCTTAGGGCCCGTAGCTGGGTATTTCAGACAGTCAGGGGACAGCACCAAAGCTGGGGATCCTTCCCCCTGTTTCCTGCCTGCCATCTATTGCCAAGTACAGGGCGTTGACACCACCAGCTTTGCCAGTTTGCCCATGCTATCCCCTTAGCTTACCCACGCGCCCTCCTTGTGTGTGACCCATCCACCTTGAGGCCTCCTGTTACTAAGAGTGTCCCTGGGTTCCTTTCTAAGTCATGGGAAAGGGAGAAACATGGTAGAGACACCAAGTTAAAAGCTGGCATGTTATTACCTTCAGGTTCCAACCCACATAGACCACACAGCTTCGTAGCACAAGCTGGCCTTGAACTCCTCTTGCCTCAGCCTCCAGAGTAATGGCTGACAGGCATGTAACACCACACCCAGTTCTTAACTCCAAGAATACCACATACACACACACAAATGCGAGCATAAAAATCTTTCCAAAACTCCTCCCATCGATGCACCCACATCTGTCCCCATTGGTACTGCCCACAGCAACGAGTGACAAGAAGAAATATGCCAACCTGAGAATTCACCCGGAGCAGTGATGAGGGAGTTGGTGGCCTCGGTTTCAGTGTAAGACAATGTGGAATCGGACAGATCTGTTTGAGGGGAAAAAGAAATAGAACTCAGTTGGCGGAAAGGTACCTGTTCCCACGCACAAGGGCAAACGTCCCTGGTGACCACTTATTTAGTATATATTTATTCCTGTAGCCCAGGCTGACCTTTATTTCAGTACGTAGCCAAGGATGACCTTGAACTCCTGATCCTCCTGCTCTTATCTCCTGAATGCCGAGATTATAGGCTTGTGCAACCAAACTGGGTTTATGCAGTGCAGGGAATCAAACCCAGGGCTTCATGTCTGTTAGGCAAGCGCTCTACCAACTAAGCTATACCACAGCCCCCTCACAAGTTTTTGATGTCACTCTGTGACCCAGTCTTAGGATCACCCCCAGACCAAGCCAACCATTTAGCCCCAGAACTCGTCCCGAAAAATGCAGACCACTGTGACCCTGACACCTGGAAGAGCCTCAGTGGCCCTGACCACAGGAACAGTCCACATTCAGGGGACTGAGCAAGCACCAACTTGAAGCCTGTTTGAGTAAGGTTAAATTAAGTCCCTGAACAATTCAGAGCTGCTAAACTTAATCACAACCATTAAAATTCTTGAAGTTGTTCGTTCTTGCTTCCTTCCTCCTTCCCTTCCTTTCTTCCTCCCAGAGCTGGGGAAAAGTAACAAATCACTAACCACCTCTGTCCCCACATGCCTCTAATTAAGACCCAAGTGTTTGCCCTCAGATTAACTTTTGCTGTCTCTCTCACCTCGCTCACTCCCCAGCATCCACACAGCCTGTGGAGCTTGGGCTGGGTTTTGCATTTGTACTCATGTTTTGAAAAGCAGGCTTAATTAAGCACTTCATATGGCATGCATCACCGGCCATCCCCTGCCAGGGGTGCACTGAGATGGAAGGGAACTGTTTCTGCCCCACTAGTTTCATAAACTGATGTTCTGGGGGACGGGAAGACTGAGGAAGTTTTTCCCCTTAGGTCTGGGCCTTTGTAACTAGCAGTTTGGGGTTGTCTCCAGTAAAGGACATAGTGGACCTTGAGAAGTTGAGAAGACATGGACCAGGGGCCTGAAACCTTTTTCTTCTGGTCACCCAACACAAGCTAGATCCAGCTCAGCCAGCCCCAGTTGGCCCAGCAGCCACCAGGGGCTGGGGATTCCTGGGACAATTCCCTCAGCTCAGGCTCTAACTAGCTAGAATTCCATTTCATCTTGAAGGAATTTTTTTTTTTCTCCTTTTGCTACATAGCTTGAAGAGCGGGAAAGATGAAACATTAACCAATTTGGCTTTTTTTTTTTTTTTTCATTTCCCACTTGCCAGATGCTGAGTTTTATTTTGGTTCCTGGTCTCGTGATCAGAGACACACAGAAGTGAACTCTCTGTGTGTGTGTGTGTGTGTGTGTGTGTGTGTGTGTGTGTGTGTGTGTGTGTGTGTAAAAAGAAATAATTCAAGGTAAAGGAAATCATTATTTTTTAAAGAACTTAGTATTTCTCAAGGCACAGAAAATATCTGATAATAACAATACTGAAAATAAAGGCACAAGAAAATCTTAAAAAAAAAACAACTTCAATGATAAAGATTTAAAATTTTACATTGTGTGTATGTATGTCTGTTTGCATGTTTGTGTGTATGTAGGTGCACATTGTACATATGTGTGTATACACCAGAAGTCAACTTTGGGTTCCATTCCTCACCTTGCTTTGTGAGGCAGGGACATCACTGATTGAGGCAGGGACGTCATCTTCCCCACCTTGAGTTTGCATTTAATATCTACTGCCCCCAGTGCAGAATGCCTGGAGCCTCAATGCTACTTCTCATCTAAAGGAGCAACACCAGGTCATGGGCTGGGTCCTATTACTTTTTTAAAAAATTTACTTGCACACCTTGTGTAGGTGTGTGTCTCCACGTAGGTACGTGTGTGTTGGAGTTGGAATTACAGACAATTCTGAGCTACCTGATGTGGGTGCAGGGAACTGGACTGCTATATATATAGAGATAGCAGCCACAAGTTTTCAGAAAGAGTAGGAAGGGCAAGTGGCTTCTGCCTTTTGAAGCTATTGAGTGCCTGTCACACATGCACTTAGCCCACAGATGTAGATTTTCCACCGAGGCCCTCAAAGGCAGCCTTCCTGTGGTGGTTGCTATAGAAAGAGATCTCTCCCAGCCTCTAATACTATCTCCAGTTATGGAGAGATCCTGGATGGGATCTGGAGACCCAGTTCAAAATGCACCTCCAGCAACAGCCCACAGTATTGGAGGTCACTACCTTTTTCTATAAAGACTAAGCACCTTCGCCCCGGGAGAGTCTCACAACCTGCTCCGCTTGCTCTCAGCTCTGCCTTGTAGCAAGAAGGAGCAGCCAAGGGCAGCATGGAGGAGCATGGCTGAGCACCCAGCTGCTGGCCGTCAGGCCACCTACATTTTTGTTCACCTTTCATATTTGGGGGGGATGTTCTTGCAGCTCTATTTTTTCCCCAGAGCCAGTCACAGTGGTGCATATCTGTAATTCCAGCAAGCAGGAGGCTGAGGAGGGAGGATGGAGCGTTTGAAGCAAAGCCAGCCTAGACTCTATAAGGAGATCCTGTCTCAATCAATCAATCAATCATCAAATTAGTAAAAGCCATTCTTATCTCTTAAGCTAAGATGGAGTGCTAGGAGCCCCAGCAAGGGTCATGTTTGCTTTCTGGGACTCAGGTGTCCCACCTGTGATGTAATGGGATATCTGTTAGCTTCTAAATGGTCACTCTCTAGGGCTTGTCTGCTTTTCCCCAAGCTGACTGACACTTCCTCTAGCAATGATACTGCCATTGGTTATGAACTTTTGATCATAGAGAGGCATCTTCTATAGGACAAGTATAACTGTGTTGACTTAAGAGATGCTGAGGGTTGCCTCTGGCAGGAAGATGGGGAAGCCATGGCCTGAGATGTGGCTGTCCTGGATTGGTGCCTCAACTCTGCAGCTCCTCAGCTAGGGTTCTCCCTCTACTCACTCAGCTGGCTCCTTCTCGTCCACCACAAGACCATGACCCCTCTAGTTCCCAAAGAAATAAACAAAGCTCCCTGAGCACAGGGGACACAGCTGGAACAAACATCACTGCTCAGCCACTCCCCCACACCCTTGAGGGACAGCCCCATTTGCCATGGATCAAACTCCTCAAGCAACTCTGGGGTGGGTATATTTCTGACCTCTCTAGGGATGAAGGGCTGGAAGGAACCTGGGGTGAGCCCCTGAGTCCATGACCCTGGAAGTGGACCTTCCAGCCAGAATTCACGCACTCCAGAGAGGATGCTTCTACCATAAACTTATTCTTTGTGGTCCACTGGGAATGTTCTAGCATTCACACCATGCCAATGGCCTTTGGAGGCCTGGACCTCACAGTAACTTCTGGTCACAAAGTTGATATGTTAGAACTCTTAAGGCCAGCTCACATACTACTGGAACTCCACAGAGTACATTATTGCTCTGAATCCAGTGGTGAGAGCCCAAGGCCAGGGCATCTCTGCTTTTAAATATTTATTTAGTGTGTGTGCATGCTTGTGCTTGTATGCGTGCATATGTGCATGCATGCAAGTGCTCTTGGAAGCCAGAAGAGGGCATTGGATTTCCTGAAGCTGGAGTTACATGCAGTTGGGAACTGCCTAGTGTAGGTGTTGGGAACTGAACCCAGATCCTCTGCAAGAGCAGCAAGTACTCTCAACCCATGAGCCACCTCTCCATCTCCTCATCTGCTTCTAAAATTTTATGTGTGCACCCCAGAACATGAGCTGACACTTAGCCCCAAGGCTGTATAGAAAATATGTCTTGTCATTGCACAGGTCTTATCTGAAATGTCACACCCTCTCCACTAAGTTCCCTCAGAGACAGCTAAGCCACCTGTCTACCTGTCCAGGTGGGGGACAAGGACAGATATAGCTCAACAAAGACTCCATGCCCTGTCTGCCTCTCACACTCCCAGTTAACACATTGGTGGACGTAACCCAAGGCTTGGAGAGGAAGGAAGGGAAAGAGACCCAGAAATTCCAACCCACCTCCAAAGAGCAGCTTAAGTCAGAACCCATTCATCTCCCACAAGCCCATGTTTAAAAGGTCATAGAGAGGTTAACGAGGAGCCTGGAATTTGAAGACGTAAATAGTCTCTCTGCAGCAGCCCAACCGTGGGAGTGTTTGTAAAACTTCACCCTGTTTGAAAGCACCCAATTCAGCCCACCCCTCAAGAGGAGGACACACTTACCCAGTGGCTTGTACTGGTCACGAGGAGACAGCCGAGAATAGGGGGGTGGCGGTGATTCTGGAAGACAGGATACAGTATGTCACACCTGGTGTTGCACGTGCTTTTAACTATTAGTTTCCTCAAATAATAATAACCTCTGACCCCAGGAAGTTTTCCACATCTTCCACCATCTCTGCTGCTCCCTGGGGCTCAATCCCTACTTGTGCCACCTATGCTTTGTGAGCGACAGACCTTGCCTCTCTAAGATGATTTCCTCAACTATAAAACAGGGGTGATAATCATAGACCTTTTGGTTTTGCCAGAAGGGCAAAAGATAGCATATGCAAAATGCTATCTTAGCACAGCTCTTGGTCACACTCCCATAAACAGCACCTTTATTATCATTACCACTAGAAAAACACTAGTGCAGAAGTCAGCGCTCGGGCTGCCAGATAATATACAGGAGGCTCAGCTCTGTTTGCATTAGGGCTAAACACCAAGTACAGTCTCTTAGTATAAGCACAGGCCTTACAATATCTAGGATATACTTACACTGAAATTTTATGTTGCTTGTGTAAAGGGGAAACTGAATTGGCATCCTAAATTTTTATTTGCTATGCCCAACAAGCCAAATCAGAGTTCAGAAGGCCCATACTTGGAAACATGGCTTGGGGAAGGAAAACGGGAAGGGGGGGCTGGGGAGATGACTTAGCATGTAAAGAAGCTTGCTGCCAAGATTAAGGACCTGAGTTTGATCCCCAGAACCCACATGGTAGAAGGTGAGCACAGACAGACAGCCTCAAGTTGTCCTCTGACCATCACATGTGTTTCATGGCATGTATGCACCCCCACTACATACATGATCACAATAATACATTTTAAAAATTATTTCATCCATATTAGAATCACTATTCCTGGGTGTGGGGATGATGGAGGGGCTATGGGGCCCTGGATCCCTTCACATTCTAAGACAGTTACTTCCAGGCTCTGGCCTCAGTCTCCCGTTTTGTAAAGGAAGGCCAGGGCTGGATTCCAGCCTTCCAGCTCAGACCCTTGACTCCTGATTGCCTACGGTGTTTTCCTTTGGGCTGCCTTTCATTTGCCTAAAATACTCCTCCTCCAAAACATATACTTTGCCTTCAGAGGAATGTCTTAGGCTCTTGCTGTCCCAGGAAGTAACAATTTGCTAAACTAAGTGAATGAGATGACCCTCCAATTTCTGTAAATGAAACTGAACCCCATCAGATCGCAAGCTAAAGCAAACTCCACAGTAATAAAGGGGTAACAACTATTATTAGGTGGGTATCAGGAATGACACTGGGTAATGACTGTTTTTGAAATTATAATAAGGCACCATTAGTTACATGAGCATTAGTTATGTGCTTTCCATACACCCAAAGGAGGCTTCCCGCTCCTGTAGCCAGAAGTAGCTTCCTCAGAGTCAAGGCTCAGAGTCTAGGACAGGTATTCTCTGTGGACAGGGGTCAGAGGAGAGGTCAAATAGGGCAAAGCTACTGAAGAGACCTGAACATTCACTATTCCAGATGCTTCCAAGTTTCTGTATTGTCTCTAATTTTTTAAAAAATTTATTATTTTATGTGCATTGGTGTTTTTGCCTGTATGTATGTCTGTGAGGGTGTCGGAAGTCCTGGGAACTGGAATTATAGACAGTTGTGAGCTGCCATTTGGGTGCTGGGAATTGAACCTGGGTCCTCTGGAAGAGCAGCCAGTGCTCTTAACTGCTGAGCCATCTCTCCAGCCCCATCTCAAACTCATAAACCTCAAGAACACAATGGTTAATCATCAGCACCTGTTTCAATTTAATCTTTTCTCAGAGATTAGAAAATAAATACATAAGATGGTATCCACATTCTCATTTTGCAGACGAGGAAACTGACTGGCTCCTGCCACCCAAGACAATCATGGCAGAGCTAAGATTTTCACCCAAGCCTGAGTTTGGCTTCACTATTCCAAAGGGCCCCTCTGTACCCAGTGTTCACTTAATGTTTCCAGGCAAAGACAAAAGAGTGGGAGAAAAGACAAAGGGGACCTACCAGTGCCCTCAAACAGGACATGGGGAGGAAGACTACACACTTTCAGTAAGAGCTTCTTGCATTCATCCTCAACACAGAGGCCAGACCTGACAGAGGTCCAGCCACCCAGCATGGAAAGGTCTGGAGCTCTCGGGGAGAGGGGACTGAGCATGGGGAGTAGAAGTGACTCCCTGGGGAACTGGCTGTGGAGCCAGAACCAGAGCCATGTCTGGTACACACACACACACCCCTTTTTACAATCCCTGAAACCCAGGACATGGCTAGACATCTGCCCCCACACCTTTCTCCAGCCACAGAGGTAGTAGCCAGAGTGTGACAAGCAACTGTCACCAACCCTAGCCTTCCCCATCCAACCCCTCTTTCTCTTTTTCTTGAAACAGTGTCGCATATAGTCCAGGCTGGCCCTGAATTCTGTGTATATCCAAGAGTGACCCTCAACTTCTAATCCTCTTGTCTCTACCTCCTGAACACATTACAGACATATCCCTGGCCAGCCCCAGTGTATCTGTCAGGGATTTTAAGATGCTCACCAGGTTTCCCCTCCCCAAACACCCACCACCCACAGTCACACCTAAGGTAGAGAGGTTCCTAACATTGCCAGTGAGACAGAGAGAAAACAGATAAACCAAAATTGCAACTATGCAGCCAGGGAAAGACAGCCGAGCTTCTGGGAGGGACATCATCTAACCACAGATCCTTATAGAAAGTAAAAAGCATAAGGCTTATAGTCACCAGCCCAGAATGCAGAGCTGTAGCATGCCAGAGATCAAAGTGGGTGGGGCTTCACCAAAATCAACTTTTATTTATTTTCACTCTGAAACAGGGCCTCAATGCATAGCTCTAGCTAGCCTCAACCGCATCCCCGCATCCTTCTGCCTCTGCCTCCTGAGCAGTGGGGTCACAGGCATGCACTACCAACAAAAGTTCTCAACTCCTTTTTATTGATGGGGCATCTGATATCCAGCCAGTAAAGGACCTGCCCAAGGCCATGCTGGAAGGCAGCTATATAAATCATTGTGTTGCTGTTGGAGACCAACACCAGGTAATCTTAAGGGGTGGGGGGCTCAAAGATCACGAGATTCACCCTTTTAAAGTATATGATTTAGTTGTTTGGGGTGCATTCAAAGAGCTGTGTGACCATCACCGTGATGTAATTATAGGACATTTTAACCAACACAGAAAGAAACCCTATCCCCATTAGCACTCACTTCCTATATTCCAACCCCAAACCCCAGGCATCCAGTAATCTACTTTTTGTCTCTATGGATTTGCCTATTTTGAAAGTGTCATGTACATGAAATCATACACTCTGTAGCCTTTTGTGTCTCTTTCTTTCACTCAGCACAATGTTCTCCAGGTTCATCCATGCCTTGGCATGTGTGAGCATTTCACCCTTTTTTATGGCTGGATGATATTCCATTGTGTGGCTACATCACACTTTGTTTATCCAGTCATCAGCTAATGGACATTTGGGTTCGTTCCACATTTTGCTGTTATGAATGATGTGCTGCGAACAATACCACTAATTCTTACCTGTCGTTCCCACTCCCCTCCCACACAGTCTCCAGGATTTAGGAAAATGGAACCATATGACACTCAGGCAGGCTAGGTGAGCTCTCCACTGGGTAAAACAAAGGACCAGAAGAGAATCTTCATGTTGACCCCTAGCTCTCCAGCCACTGTCTAGAAGATAACCTAGCCCTTGTTAAGAGTTACATCGATTTGGAAATAATTTACACACTGTAAACTCTAACAGAACTCTTCCAGTCTCTATAGGATTCTCGGAGAGAAGTGGACATGGACAAGAGAAAAAGATAAAGACATCAAAACTCCAAGCCCTTCAGACCTCCAGCCAGAGACATGGACTAGAAGACTCTCCTCTAACTTCCTCCAAAAGCTGAGTAGTCAGCCCAGGCTCCCTCTGGTCAGCCCTCAGGGGCTACCTAGCCTTCTGAGATCTAGACCTCCATTTGAGGACAGGGGAAAGTTCAGTCTTTCTCAGATCCCGGAGTGAGTTTCCATTGGGCATCACTTTTTTACACCCATCTTTGCATGGCAGCTCTTTGCTGTAGAACAAGATCCACATGCTTGCCTGGGCATCCGACTTTTCTTCCTCTCAAGGGATGACAGGTAGGTGGGAATGGAGGGGGACTCCTGGGTGCCTGTTTTTTTCTTCCCTCAGAACCTAGAGACTCCAACCCCCAATCCCCAGGATCGGAGGACAGAAAAGGAGCTCCTGGCACTTTAAGGCCGAAGGAGCCTGCCTAACTGCCCAGATTCCCCCAGCAGCCAGATAAACAGCGCAGCCGGCTGGCGCCAGCAAGAGGCAAACTGGGCATTATCACTGCTTCCTCACCTCCAAGAGAGCAGACAGACAGACCGAGGGGCCGCGAGGGGGCGGGGTGGGGCCGGGAAGCCCAACTTGAAATTGATCTCATTTCAAAGGGATAATGCCAGGCCAAATAAAAGGAAAAACTTTCTAGCCCATTCTAATTCCTCCAGGCCTGGCCTGGGAACCCTGTGTTTTCCTAGGCAGCCTCCTCCAGCCCTTTAGAAGTTCTCTCTCTCTTTCCCGGGCACAATTTGGATAATAGTAATTTACTGAATATAATTACAGAAAAAAAAAAAGTAGGGAAGCAAAGAGCAGGAGATTCATTCCAGAGTTAATGGATACTTGCAAGAGAAAGGAACTCTATAAACAGGTCAGAGCTGTGATTAAAGTATTTCTCCACATTTCCGTCCACATAGGCACCCACCAAGCTCAGCGCTGCCTTTAGTCCTAAACAGAAAGGCCCAAGAAAGATAGCTCCCAGAGGCCCCCAGACTGTGTCACCACTGAGCCTGGTATTAAGGGCGAGAGGACTCTGAGTAGGTCACCAGTTTCTAAGTCAAAGCCCATGGGCCCTGGAACCTGCCTGTCACCTCTTGACCTCAGGTGTTCGGGCTTACAGGTGGGAGGAGGCCAGGGCCATCAACTTGCCAGGCTCAGAAGGGGACCATACTTCCCACTGGGAACCTTGAGGGTGGAGGGCAGGCACGAATGACTGGTGCTGGGTGTTCCCATGCACTTTACTCTAGTTGTATGCGCGATCAGACAGACTGTCTGTGTGTCGGCCCGCTTGCCCCATGCCCCAGCCCTTTTCCCTGAGCTGGAAAGTTGGGAGGAGCGGTCTCCTTATCAGGACGCGCTCTGCTGAACCCCAGCTATGTGCCCGCCCATTTCGAGGAGCCAGGCTGGCGGCCAGCCCCGGGGGCGGAGTGCGCAGCAAAGGGCTTCCCCAGTCCCCAGTCCCAGGGAAGGCAAGAGGGTCAACCCGGCATACTGGAAACTCTTGCTTCTTTCCCACAACCACAGTCCTCAGAGGTTCCCCAGCTAGCTCTCCTAGGTTCCTAGCTAGCAGAGGCAGGGGATAGATTCATGTTGCATGCCCCTGCACCCCTTCCCAGGGGGAAGTACCTCATGGGGGGAAGCAGGGAATTAAGTTCCAATACTCAGTACAGTTGAAAATGTCTCTAGAGCCCTCCCACACATACACATTATCCAAGGTCACTGTCTGGACAGAGCCTAGGTCCAGATTCTATACCAGTTCATCAGGTATCTCTCAACCTCTCCCTGGCCAAGCAGGGTCAATTCTGAGGGCAAAGAGTAGAAGCTGACTGGGGTCTGGTCCTAAGGCCTCCTGCTTTTTGCTCCTCCTTATCCGGTCCACCCACCTGAGCAAGCCCTCTTTAGGTCCACCCCATCCTCTGAGGCTGCTCCAGGTTAAAGGCGTGGCACTCCCAGAGGTGATCCAGTTACAGACACACCCACAGCCCTCCCGGTGGCTCAGACCACTGACCTAGCCCCACCCCCTCACCTTCTTCCCACTTCTTCCCACCTCCCAGGAGGATTTCTTGACAGCATGAACCCTACTGTGTCTCTGTCTCTCTCTCTCTCTCACACACACAAAATACCTAGTACAGAGTAAAAGCTCAACAAACTTGTTAGTACTGTGACTTGGCCACAGGGGGGAAAATATCCACTAGGGCCTTGTGGATGTGTACTGGGCCCCACCACCCATCTACTAGGAAAAAATTGAGAGGAAGCAATACAAGTACAAATAGGGTCCTCCTTCCCAGGAACAGAGATTGCAGTCTCCTGCAGGGGAAGCTGTCAGGTAGCCTCCAGGCACAAAAAGCCAGAGACTACCCAAAGTCTCTACATTGATCCTCGAGGGACGAACCATGAGGGAGGCACATCAGGAACCATAATAACAGGAGGGAAACTTTCTTTCTCTTCATGCCACTAGGCCCTCCTCTATACACAGGGAAGAGGCCAAGCTTCCTGAACTTGTTCTCTTTCCACTTAGTCAGGAGACCTGAGAACTGACCAGAGCAAAACAGCCTGAAACTAACTACCTGTCCCATTCTCCCCTGCAAACCCTCTGATGCCTTGAATGTGTTCACCTACCCTATAGTGAGTGTTTCTAGTGGGTATGGAAAACGTATGTGTGTGTGTGTGTGTGTGTGTGTGTGTGTGTGTGTGTGTAAGCTCAGTCCAGTCAGGGGCCTTCATCTGTCCTCACCTCTGCTCCTGCACCTGAGCCTGCCTAGGTAAGCAAGGCTAAGGTAGGGTGTGTGCAGAAGATCACAGGAGAACAAAGGGGCTAGTAACAAAAGAGCTAGCAGCCTCTGACTCTCAGATGCTTTAGGACCCTCAACTCTAGAGGTGAGCTGAAGGCAAGAATTAAGAGCTGTGATGATGGAGGAGCCTGGTGTCCCCCTCCCACCCCCAAAGGATGTGGAAAACAACAGATTGCCCTGCAGAATCTGTGCTCAGAGCATAGAAAGGGACAAGTGGAACATTTTGCAAACACTTTTGACGATAGGCACGATTAACCTGAAAACAATTCCACAGACATACCTACCTGGGTGCAGAAAAGCACAACCAGGGTATAGGATATGCATACAAATGCTAGGAAGCTGGTTACCGACTGGGGTGAAGCCCCAAAAGGGAGATGTCGCCTACTCCTTTGGCCTCTCCATGGCTTGCTATCTCGTTTCACAAAGCTGCAATCTACTTTTAAGTCCCAGGAGCTGCATACAGAAAATCTGAACATGCCCTTTCTAAAATCGTTGACGCTACCAGTGCGGTTACCAACTGAAGTTGCAGGCACCTACCCCTCCCCTTTCCTCAACCCACTGCAGGCTCCCAGACAGGGGGGGTTTCCCAAGAGCATCCACAAAGAGGTGGCCACAGAAAAGCATCAGAAGATGAAGGCGTAGGTCGAGAGGACCCCGTGCGCGCGCGCTCACCTGGCCCGCAGAGCCGGCTGAAGTGGTAGGGGTTGCAACACACCATGGGCCCGTCGGCGGCGGCGGCGAAGCTGTGGCAGCCGCACAGGGGTTTCAGCTCCACTGCGTGCTGCAGGTCAGGCCAGCGAAAGAGG